ACACAGCGCAGGCGCAGAGAGATCAAAAGCAGAGCCAAGCAAGGAGGGGCCCCTTGCCCTAAACTCGAGGTAACGCTATCTGTCTCCTGTCTCCTCTACTGACCTCTCTAACATACATGCACACAGTTACAGCTTCGGTCCCAAATGCGACGCCTCGCCCCGCCTGTTGCGTGTTGTACGGCGTGTTCTCGCGCGTATAGAAAGGGGATTGCCGCATGCTCCCTCATGCTCCTTTCTATGTGTGCTTGGGGTGCCGAGGGGCTACCAAGCCGAGCTGGAATGAAGGTTGGGATTGATGAGAACGCCTAAGCTGGTAAAGGGATCATGGGGGGGTGACAGGATATGGGGTTTTGTCTGTGCAGGAAACACGGCAAGGGTGCAACGCAGACGTGCCGTGCCCCAGCCACTGTCAGGTGGGCCCGTGGACAGAGTGGTCTGCCTGCTCCGAACCTTGTGGGCCCGGTGTCAGTGTGAGGGAGCGGCCAGTGCTGAAAGAACCGGACGCTGAAGGCAAGCTGCTGCTGCTCCCCGTTTCGTCGCTGCTGCAGCGTGACACCCGCGGTTGCAGCACAGTCTCTTTGCTGCTTGAAGCAGACTCTCGAAACGTAGCTAGCAAACCGTTGAGAGACACTGCAGAGACAAGAAGACAACTCCGTGCTGCGTGTTGCGAGCTGTCTGCCGATGCCTCTTCCTCCTTCTTGCGGTGTATGTACAGGCCAAGAGTGTCCCGAACTCCACCAGGAGCGCCGCTGCTACCTCACGTCTTGCGCTTCGGACTGTCAAGTGAGCGAGTGGACCGAGTGGTCTGCATGCGGGGCTTCGTGTGGCGGGGGCCAGCAGACACGCCAGCGCAGCGTCTTGTCTCCCGCTGTAGAAGACGGAGAGCCGTGCCCCGAGCTGCTGGAGACGAGGGAGTGCAACACCTTTTCGTGCGACGGTGGCTGTCACTTGGGCGACTGGAGCGAATGGACAGAATGCAGCAAGCCATGCGAGGGAGGAAGCAAGACCAGAACAAGAACAGTTCACGCCCTCGAGCCAGACACAGACTGTCCCCCCAGCACGCAAACAGCTCCCTGCAATCTGCATGACTGTGGTGAGCAGCCCCTGCTGGAGCTGTACAGACTTCGGCATCCAACGAAGCAGCTCTGTCACCTACTTGCTGCACTGGTTTTCCCATTCTGCAGCTATCGGCGCTGAGCCTTTACTGTCTTGTCTTATTAGCGTCAGTTTCCAGCTCCCTTGGGCTATCTCCTTGTTAGGTACCTACAGGGATAAGCCTGCTACAGTCCCCCTAGCTGCCTTGTCCGCTGCTAACAGAGTGGGATTCCCCCCAAATGCGTATGCGTATATG